TGGATTTCCATTTGAAATTAGAATAGCCAAAGTCATAAAACACATTAGAGTTGTGTGTTATCCTGTTATTATATGAAAACTAGTGACATGCATCTAGACAATTTGTTCCACTTCAATCCTATTCAAGTTACATAAAGAAGGGAGACGATTGTCATTCTTGTCAAACATATCCTCTTCATCTATGCCCGGGTTATGTCTATGCACTAGATCGGGTTGTTCAGGTGACAAGAAACAGGATTACTTATCTGATCATATACATACTTCGTCAGATCTAGTTTCAAGTCGATATCATCATGCTACCAAGTAAACAGTTGATTCCTCTCAGTTCATTTATGCGCTACATCAATCATTCATCATCCTTTCAAATCAACATAAGACTAGGCATTACTGCGTAACGGTCCGAGTTGCCACACCTCATATCAGTACATCAAGTGAAAAGGCAATGAGGCGCAAGATGAAGAAAAGGAAGTTTAGTCAAAAGAAAAATAAAGTACTGAAAGCGAGAAAAGAAGAATGAGAGATGATGAGACTTGGTATAGCGTGTGCGTGTGCCACTGCCTTCAGTTCTCAGCCACATAACTAGTCAGTCTCCAATTACTAGTTTCTCTCGTCCCGCAGACTCCAACCATCTAGTCTGCATGGCCCTACATCGCTCACACTTCATACATTGATGTTATGTTTTCTTCTGGCCGCCTCGGGCTTTTTTTCAACCTAAACCTACTTCGGTCAATATTATGTGAGGAGTTAGACGGCGACTAGACATACGTAACAAGTGTCTCAACCGTCTCAGTCGATGAAGGTTTACAACCTCGTCAACTGACTTACCTTTACTCCCTAAAACTCTACACGGAATATGGCCTATACTACGACGAAGGCGGTCAAACACTTGAAGCCTTCTTATGTCTTTCACCTTCAATGGCCGTGTTCTATAGCCATACAGTAGAACAGACCGCACTGCTGTGCAGTATACACTAACCTTAATAGACAATCGGACACCACGGTGGCGCCACAGGTGGCATGAGTTGGCAAAATCCAGTCAAGCATTTTGTATTCGTGCGAAAAGTTTCATCGGTCACTGAGTCGTCAGGGTAAATGAAGTGGTCAAAACATTTAACCACTTCACTCTCTATTGTTAGCCGAGGTGACACCGTTGAAGACCAATCCTGGAGCGTATTCTAGGTCTAACGAAAGTTCTTCTGTGATGAGGTCAATCTTTTTGTGGTCACGTGACAAGAAGGAGATCTCCATAAGAATATCTATGATAAAATTGAACATTTGTCATACGACGTCTTCCTAAACCCTTGGAAGGTAGAGTATGTTTTGAACCTATGACCCATTAGTAGTTTCATCTGATATGATTCCGTCTTCAACTTTTCAAAGTGGAGTTATTCTTTTTGTTCGATTGACTGTTGCACTATCGTACTGGACAGTAGACCTTAGAAAAGCGGTAAAATACCCATATTTCATCTTACATACACACATACATACATACATACATAGATACTTAGATATTCATAGCCACAAGTAAATCCATTGATATCCAATAGTGTATTGCAGGAGAAGATTAGGTGCAGGGAGGAGGGGAGGGAATTGAATATCTATCCTATCCAGTGTTATTTACTGGTTAAGCTGCTTAGTTCACATTAGAAGTATCTGAAGTCCACGCAACAAATATATATATATATATATATATATATATATATATATATATATATATATATATATATATATATAATATATATATATATATATATATATACAGGAGAGAGAAATATAAACAAACAAAACTGTACTAATGAATGTGTCCGCATTCTTTGTGTGACAATCACCCTGCAAAATAGGATGGAATGCATCCATTTCAACTGTAATAAAACTTTACCTCATAACCTATAATTACACAGAAAAGAATGCACAGAAGAAAAAAGCAAGAACAAAATAAGCGAATTGTTACCAACTTCTTTGATAATCACAAGTGGGATAGAGTTAAGAGAATTGATTCCTGCTTCATTGATTGACTGAATGAATATATACATATATATATAATCATTTCGATTATCTGAGATAGCAGTGGTGGTTTGATAACACTTCTATCACTGCTACTGGATGATGATTGAAGGTGAAATGAAAATTTGGACAGCGGCCAGATTCGAACCAGTAACCATCAGGTTTGGAGCCCAATCCTCTACCATCTGAACAATGAGGTCACCTTCAATTATCACTCAGTATCAGTGATACTACACTGCCAAACTACAGCCGATATCTCAGATAGTCAAATAATAGTCAGTTTGATGCTCCATCTCACACTCTAATTCATTTCGATTTCGATTGAGATGAGAAGTCTTGACTATGGGCAGCCAGTGTGAATACGATAAACCGGTAGTACCGTGTCACGAATTCATATGGTAGTCGTAGGGCGAAACCCAGCTTTTGATTGAAGTGAAGTCAAAGCCTGATGGTCGTGAGGACAGTTACTCAACGATGACATTGGGTGGTGGTTGCGCTATATCGTGAGCTAATAGAAGTTGGAAATATGGACCACTGGATTCTGACCCAGTGGCTAGCTCAGTGGTAACGCACTGGCAGCGGAACCTGAAGGTCGCGGGTTCTATCCCTGGCGGGGTCATGGGTGCGCACTGCTGAGGACTCCCATACTAGGACGAAACAGCTTTTTAGTGCTCCCAGGTTTCCTTTGTTCCTTCAACTGGTGTCAGTCTACGATGAATAACAACTTGAAGTGAAATAAAAGGAATCTCGTCAGCAGTCAGACCTCGTAGGTTAGTCGGTACAGGATTGGGTCGGGAACCTGGTTATCCCTGGTTTGAATGCGGCCACGGTCTAAATCTTCATTTCACCTTCAATCATAACCCAGTATATTCAAAAACTTACAGATTTCTGGTGTTAGATGGTTACAGGCAATCTGAAAGAAGTCAACCCTACTTGAAATAGGTTTCATAGTTGCTGTTGCTAGTCATGAGTAAGGTGTATCTGAAACCTCAAAGCAACTCACTGGACAGCAACTAATTTCATGTGACCACAGGCTACATGAGACATTTGCTCAATGTCTTTGGTAGGATATTATTTTGAGGTTTGGTTATTCTAACTCCGGATAGACAGAACCCCTATCACTGGCACCAGAAAACAATTGGACGAGGTTGTGTGTTATTTTGTGGCCCCTCATCCCATATCGATGTGACACCCCAGCCAGCTAGCAGCAGTATAACCTCGCCCTCACACTCCCATCATACTGTAACAATTTACACTACAACGCTAACTCATTTCCATCTTAACACTATCAAACACACCTTTCTCGTTTGCTACAACCACCACACAACAAGCCTTCCACAAGCATAACTCGTTGGCTCATTCTCATATACAACCCTCATCACCACATCAACGTAGCAGTCATCGCTCCACCTATATTCATTCACCCAGAAAACTTTTAACTTTTCCCCTCACTCACTAATCACAAAACAATTTACAATGTTTTCTTCTTCACACGAAACAAAAGTCAACCAACATGCTCAAAGCAAACACCTACATATTCGGGTAGTAGACGGCAAAGAGCCACACCTATTCTGTGTGTCCAGGTATGAGTGGTGTTCAAACCACCAACACATTGCTTCATAACCAACTACATAAATCAATGAATAACCGTTCCCCAGAGAGGAGAGAGAAACTCAGGCTCCGACATGTCAGATATACATCACACTATCTATCCAAAGACAAGTATACTGCACTCCAGTCCATCCTGTCATGCTATACCAGTGTGAGACATGGCCGTTGAAAGTAGAACACACCAACCGGTCACATGGTTTCTATCATAGGTGTCTCTTTTCGTAGCACTCCACGCATCCCGTGGAACCACTGAGGGGGCAATGTTGAGGTTAGACAAAGGGTACTAGGCAAGACAAACAAGTCGATTGATCAGGTGGTTTCAGGATGCACTGCAAACTCCAAGTCACTGCCTGCCTCGACATGACACGCTATGGGAAGCAGAATTAGGTTGAAACAGTTCAGGGTGATCAGACAAAAACGTGGTACAAATAAACGAAGTATACGTAACCTCAGTTTCCTGGATGCTGACACTTATCAGCAAGAGAGATATGCAACCCCAATCCGCATGGCTCAGTGATAATGTCGCTGACCACACTAGGTGACGTAGGTTGGAAAATCACAAGGCATGTGTGTGAGTTCCCTTAAGATTCTAGATATGCCTTACTGAAAACTGGCAACAACTCAACGGGACTTAGCTAGCTTCTAGTGGATTACCTTCAACCAAATAAAATTTCACCTCGATAAGAAAAATCCTGTTTTACAGATCAACTTATTTACCATGCTATTTTCGATAGATAATGACACTACCTGGCTAAAGCATAAACCTATTGACTGAACACAGAATACATAAATCAGTATGCTATGGTAGAAGTTCTTTCAATTGTTCACTGTTCATTAACTGACTTCATGTCAACATTAATCACTTGTGATATGATGATACAGCACCGTTACAAGTTTCTGATAGAATCTGTAGGGTTACTGATCTACACGGAGATAGCTTCAAACCATTAGAGTTTTGCAGTAAGCAATGAATAGCATATCTATTGTGTAATGGCTAGTGATACAACCTGTCTGGACAAACTTCAATAAGAAGAGATGGGGTTCGAACCCCTGACCCAGTAGAATCCACTTACGGTAATCAAGTAGAAAGTAAGCAGAACAAGCAATTTTCATATACTCTTCAATTTCTTCACGACAATAATACGAGTAAATTTTAATCATTCTATTCTTATTGTTTTTCTTTCTTACTTATCTACTTTCCATCACTTTATGTCTTTATCATCTTATTATACTACTGTGTGTGGCGCATTTCTTGGTGTCTTTGCTGTACCATGTTTGTGTTCTAATAATAATAATAATAATAGTAACAATAATAATAACGATAAATACGTGCATACTGATAGAGAATATGGTGAGTTTTGTAAATTTGAGTAAATTATACTCACCTGACCATTTCTTCTTAAACGAATCAGTGATTGTGCACAATTGTCTAATTCATCGCATAAATTCATTATTGTTTTACTATTTGTGTTAGTTGAGTCTAAATTGGCCAAGTTCCTGGCAGAATTTAACACTTGATTAAGTGCCTTCTCACCAGCTGTCATTGCAGCAGAACACTAAAACGAATAATAATAATAAAGCGGAGAAGGAATAGAGTTATGAAGATAAAAAAATGCCATCAGTAACTTCCTTTTCCTATACAATTCAACATGAACGTTTTGTAGTTCTTCCATTTGTAGGAGATTTCATGATTTAACTTTCTTTTCAAAATGGTGGTATTCACCACGAACTGAAAACCTGGGAGAACTGGACGTCAGTTCTAGTGTGCGATAACTGGCGGAGGGCCATGCTAGCACACTACTGAGGAGTCTGAAAGTAAGCGTAAACAGCTGACCAATGCTTCTAGGTTGTTAATATCAGTCTCCGATAAATGATCTCGCCTTAAAATCAACTAATCAGTACAAGCCTCCAAACTAAATTCAGCTTTCTGATTGTAAGAAAAATTTCTTGCCCTTACCATTAAATTCCATATTAGATTTGTTTATTTGATTTATAACTTTTCCTGATTATGGTGGACTGGATCATGTAACAAACTGTGGAGTGAGAAAATGAGCATACGCTCGCTGTTTGACCGATGAAAAAGACCCTACATGATTTGGATTTCACCTATGATTTATGTTTAATGTCGTACAAACTCAAAGATGCACAGGCAAAAACTAACAAGTTGGCAGAAAAGACAGCGAAGACGTGACTCCCTTTAGGTGGAAGTAGAGAAGACAAAGGTGATGAAGATGCCCAACCAACAACAACAAGCACCAATCACCATGAACGGGCGAAATCTAAACAAAGTTGTCTCTTTCATCTACCTACCTACCCGCCTACCTAGTCAGCATCCTTTCAACTACAGGCGGCACAGTCACAGGCACAGACGAGGATGTCAAAGCTACAATCGGAAAGACAAAAAGACAGCCCTTACTTTATTAACCTGAAATCGTTGTGGAGATCTACTGCACTCCACTCCACTCACATGTGGAACAACACCCGGATTTTCAACAATAATCCAGTCAAGTAAGTCACTGTTTCCATGTGATGGTTGAGAAACTTGGTGCGTTACGAAAAGCATTCCCAACAAACTGCAGACATCATACATCAACAGCTGTCTACTCTCGATATTGAAGATCAGATGGCCGGAAGGAATAAAGAAGTCTGGCTGGCAACGAACCAGCCAACAATCCATCGCCTAACAAATATGCAGAAGAAAATGGAGATGGATTGGATTGGACATACATTGAGAAAACCACTTGAAGATATCACGCGCCAAGTCAGGCGTTCGGTGGAACCTAAAGGGGAAACGACGAGTTGGGCGTCCGAGCCGAGGGCGACATGGAGGAGATAGTGTGAGGGATAAATGAAAGCTTCTGGGTAGTGATGGAGCCAGGTTGGCAAGACTGGAGAGAAGAGAGTGAAATGGCGACATGCTAGTGAAGCCCTGTGCTCCATTAGGAACCCAAGGGGCAAATAATAACACTGATATTGTCCTATCTACTTGAACATATAACAAACGAAATAATAACAACATGAATAAGAATAACAACGACAACACATATAGAAAGGAGTTCACAGCCTCAATTGTGTTAGCATATAAGGAAGAAACATTAGAGACTTTACGTAGAATTCTCAACAAGGCTGGAATTGGGGTGACATTTAAACCAACAAACTCACTCAGGGATAAGCTTTGTCGGCTGTGATAGAACTAACTAAGGAAAATAATCTATCAAATTCCATTCAATGACTGTGAGGTCAATTTCATAGGTCAAACTTGCCGATCGGGGGATCAGTTAGAATAGAGGAACATGGGAATTTAACTAAGCATAAAATCATACATCCTAAAAGGATCAATAACCTAGAAAAAAATCACGATTATTGGAATGCATGCGCTAAAAATAAAAACAATCACACAATAGGATGGGATGAAAACCACTGTACAATATAATCAGTTGAAAAGAGAGAGAAATTGATTATTGAATCTTTGTTCATCGAATCAGCACCCATCCAACACACATGTGTAATAGAAATGATACAACACCTATCCATATCAGAGATATGAAGGATTCTAATACCAATATATAATTCTATATAAGTGTGTGTATTATAAATCTAATATGCAGTGATATTCTACCAGTGCTCAAGTTTTACACCTATATTCATGAGATTTACCATTACCGTTACTTGATACGAATTTATCACTTAGATAAATTGTGCTTCCTTATTGATATTAACAAAATTCTCACAGAAAGCGTACTTCTGATTGTCTGAAAATCCTATTATCTTTCAGTTAATTAGTTAGCTTTCCAAGAATGACATTTAAAGTATGCTGTTTATAACATCTCCGAGTAAAATTTACACTAAAAAAAAAATATATGCAGAGAATGTCATCCCATATAAAGTGTACAGATAACCAAAAATTGAAAATGTGCAACCCATTGGAACGCTTAGCAAGTGAAAAGGTGAGAGACAATTTTAAGACCAATATGAAATGATTCACAGTTTAACAATCTAATCGAAGCTTAACTAGGGTTTGTAGGTCTGTGGAGATGCATTTACACGATACCTGTGAACATCATTGTTGATTTAAAGTATAAGCTTAGCACAATGGACAAGTTAGGAAGTGTAGTATGTAAAATATATACGACAATATTATCAAAACGTAAATATGACATAGATTGAACAAAAACGGTAGAATCAAATGACCTTGTGCAAATGTTTGCAATCAATCAATATCAACATAGGACCGGGCATTACTGTGTAACGCTCCAACTTGCCACACCTCATATCATTACATCAAGTAGAAAGGTAGTGAGGTGAAGGATGCAGATAAGAGAATGCAGTCAAAAGAAATATAAAGTACGAGAAAAGAAAAAAGAGGACTGAAAAAATGGTGAGATTCGACATAGCCTTGTTAAGATGAGGATAATGTATGTGGGGATACTTTCGGTCCTGAGCCATATCACCTAGAGTCTCCAACAAGCACTGGTTCCTCTTGTCCCACCGACCCCACCCACCTAGTCTGCATCGCCCCGCATGGCTTAAACCAAAAGTCAGAGACTTCATATATTGGTGCCATGTTTTAGTCTGGACACCTCGGGCCTTTTTCCAGCCTGGACCTACCTCAGCCAATATTGTGTGATGAAACAATCGGTGACTAGGCATACGTAGTACGTGTCCTAACCATCTCAGTCGATGGAGGTTCATAACCTCGTCAGCCGACTTACCTCTTCTCCCTAAATCTCTACACCTGACTTCTGCATTACTCACGCAGTAAGCAAAGAGCCACATCTATTGTATAAGGGCTAAAGATATTACCTAGCTGCCCAAAGCCCGTAATCCACTAGTTTACTGTTATCTCTCTGAACCACTGAATCACAGCTCCACCCAAGTGTACTCACTCTTACAGCCTAAAATGTATAGAAGTTAGAGTGAAATCGAGTGATTCTCAAACATCAATTACATACTGGAAAACACATGAATTTTTTCAATTCATTACGAAGCTAAAATGAATATATCAAGATGGTATTGAAAGGTAATCAAGCATGATAGCCAAATCCGTATGAAACACCGATGAAAATAAATTGTTCACGTCTGTTTGCATTAAAACAAGTGATAAAAATAAATTCATAACTATGAACAAAATCGCAAATGACCTACATTTGAATCGGATATCCAATCGTTGACAAACTGTAAACGACTATCAAAAGCTATCTTGTTCATGTGCATAACGGCTAAATCATCATCGAATAATTCTGATGAGTCTGTCTGTGTGAGTTGTAAACCACGTATAATTTCATGTATTTCACTAGACATTTCAGATAACAAGAAGTCTCGATTCGCTTGACTTTCAGCCGCTCCAGGTAAATCTATGAAGAAAATGTAAGCGATGACTCAACCAAGTGAAAAAGCCATATAAGCTAAATGTAATAAGCATCACTCATATTTATTTCTCTTGTATTACCCACTCTTCTTTTCTTATACCCTTCTGAGACTTCCGATGACAGTCTCTTCATATTTATTTTCTGTTTTTTATCTTGATGTCCAGATGCAAAGGAAATTTGGGTTCTATATTGATACTGATTGATTGATTCATAGTACTCTGTAATGTTTACAAGTAGCTTCAATGGAAGTAAAGATATGACTCATCCGCTCAAGCATTTGACAAGTGCGATTAGGCTGAGCCTCAGCACACGCGTAGTTCAATCGGCCTTCACACTATACTTGCCTTACAGTATATAAACAGGTTCTGGGTTGAATTTCAGTAGTTTACAATTTAATGTTGGCAACAATAAAATGAAAAATCACAACTATACTCTAGCTTTCAAGCTCTTCACAAAACCAGATGTGAGTATAAACCAGTAAAAAAAAATTAGAATAAAATAGGCCATCGCTAAAAAACGTCCAAAAAGCATAATAAGCAGTACTATCAAACTAGGCGTCACAAATAAGATAATCTGCTTCTTAAAGTAAAAGACTATTGCTACCAGTGAGCAAGTTTTTAAAATGACGGAATCACATTTAATGAAACCCAACAATTGAGACATATGTAGAAAACTTCGGTGACTACACATTCAGCTCCTTCCTTATGATACAGTATATATCACTTCGGTCAAACTTTGGTAGCATTAGTAAGTTATTCAACGAAGTACTTGGTGTGGATATTATAGAACAATGGGTAAGGTATCTATATGAGAAGCTGCCACAAAATGAAAGCACACAACATTAAAATATTTAGATATTTTCAAGTAACTCACGATTCTGATTTGTATTTACACACAGCTTCAAGGATGATATCAAAATAGGTGTTAAGCGCTTGACTTGTTCTATGCCCCTAAGTAGTAAGGCAGAATGAGACTGAATAGTCAGTTCCTCCTGTCTGCTATCAACTTCTTTAATCATATCAGCCATACAAGGTGTAAGACGCTAAATATTATCTGAGACCTATCTGACAAGTACCTTCACGAAATCAGCTAAGCCAGTTAGGCTAGTTACGTGTTCCGCTGTGGCTAGCGTACTAAGCACTCTTCTGCAATGTTCAATGATTTTCCGGACTTCTGACATATCAAACGTCAGCAGAACAGACGACGTCCCCTGTAGAATTCCTAAGAGAAGTGAGACAGATGCACCGTACCTCTTGATCCCTCAATAAGCTTTCTTCGAGCTTCTGAAGAGCTTGGATCCTTTTGTAATAGTAAAACTGCTTCCTGAAGATAAATTGAAGCATCCTCCACACGTTTTAGCGACGGTGGCATGTCTTTTTGCAGAATCTGGTCATCGCTAGCCTCAATAGTTTGATGTCCAACCTGCCATAAACACATTACACACATGCACGTACCTTTATGAGGTTATCAACCGCCAATTTGACGACATTGACACGAAATTCAAGATCAGGAATTTCTGTGCCTGATCCAGCATCTTCAAACAGTAAAATAAGCTTCAAAACCTAAACGCCAATTCAAAAAAGCTAATAATTGCAATACCTGTTGCGCAACAGGACTAAGGATGCGCTCGATCGACTTTGTATGGAACGACATTTCGCCAGAGAAGTAACACACATAATCAAAATGCGCGGCACAATATCAACGGTACAAGCATCCAATATTGATAGTGTGAGCTTAGAAAACTGGTAGTTTTTGACTTCTCGAGTCTATTTCCCAAGGCTTGGTTCGAATTGTTTGGGTCACTCCAGCAGCTGACGAGGAAATCCCCCCTACTTTCTTGCTTTCAGCTTCGGTGAGTTGGATGTTTTGTGGGTTAGTAAGCTGCAATTTGTAGTTGTTGGGGAGCTACGGGTTTCTGGGAAGGTTAAAGGACTGTCATGACTCCTGTCTGTGTAGGTACCTACAAGGGAATAGCAAGGCAGTGGTAAAAAATGAAGAAAATGAAGAGGAAGAAAGAAAGGGAAGAGAGAAAGGAGAAGAGAGAAAAAGATAAGGAGAAGGAGGGAGTAGGGAAGAGAACTAAAAGAGAGAGAAAAGTGCCTGCCTGAATGGTAAAAATAGATAGCGTAAGTCTACTTCCTGGGAAACAATCAGTAGGTAATGTGGGTGTATAAGGGAGCTAGATAGTGAGTGGTAAGTAGGAGGGAGGTGATGGTGGGCTACTGAGGTTGGTGACTCACTGAGTTTGTCCGTGGTAGACTGACTATTTCTAACCCTTTGCGACTAGTCAGTCGGTCTTGATTCTTCCTGTTCGTTAATAGTGAGGAGATTTTTTCTTATTTATTACTTTAGCTGTAGTTAAATAAATGTTTTTATGGGTTGGTATTTGTAATTTGTAGATTGAGTTGGATTGGAATCTACTGGGTGTTGGGTTGATCAACAGCCTTCCATGACTTCTGACTTAGTTGCATTTGAGTATGAATGCTGACACAATTTGGAAGTATAAATGGGAGGTTCTCAAAGAGCAAGAGTAAACAGCGCGAGTCTAGTTGCGACAGCATAGTTGAGAGACTAGGTAGATGTGCAGCGTCACATACTTCTCCAGAATCAATAGCCGCTCACTCACTTTTGCGCCAAGGTGATGTCGGTTCTGTGATGTACAAATTTAGTGGATTTCTCTAGCGTTGGCCATCACGTTTCAGGTACGGTTGGTTTTCTCGCGTAACTTCTCTTGTAGGCCATAAAGAGATAGCATCTGTTCCTGTGATAGCCTTAAATGAGTAGTTTTAGTTACCTCAGTCTGTCAGAAGATGTCTTCCCCCTCAGTTCGACAAATGGTCTGGTCACGGATCTTGATATCTTCTTGAGGAAATTGGAATCCCTCTTGGGTGTCAAGATTATTACCATTTTGAGTGTTCCCAGACGCTGTCGTACTTTGGATTTGAAAACTGTTAGAAACAGTTCCGAAGTGACAGCGCTGAGCTCTTCACTCAGAAAAAGGAATGTCGCATTCACACTGAATGTCCTTTCCGCGAAATTAGATCTGTTAAAATATCGGAGATATTGAGTATTTTCTGTAAAACTCTTCGTTTATCACCCTTGAAATTTAAGTGCCATCAGAGAAAAAGCAACATTGGTGATATGATTTTGCATGGGAGATCGTTGAAGGACGGGAACAGAGGTAACCCTTGGATTGCTTTCTGTGACACTCCAATGTTTCTCCCAGGTCGGGGTATCCTCTTCCCCCCTGCATGGTGCTTTCTACTTTCTAGGTATGGCTTGAAGCACCAAATTAGGGATTAGCTGGTGCTTGCTGGCGCGATTGTGGGAAACACTACCAAATCCATTGACCAGGTAGATAAAATGACGTGAACGGTTTTTTGTTTTGTCACGTAGAGGTCCAGTCGTCTCAGACAGTCGGCGAGCTGTTGTCACGTGAATGACCACTCCAACGGCCATGTGGCACGGTATGAACACGGTTTTTCCTGATGAGGAATTCCTAGGCCTTGTGTGACATCAGTTCTTCCAACATTTCGGACGGTAGGAGGAGAAAGACGATCGGTCTAAGGTCTTCTTCTGGCTGTTTTAATTATCTCTGTCGGGACCCGTCATGATACTTGCTCCTTTGCTGGCCAACTTCCTTGTCACCACTAAGGGGTGTCGGCGTTTTTGGGTTACTTCGTAGGTACCTCGCCAGGTATATTTGACAGTTGAACCAGTATTTCCGATATCCCATGTTCCATCGTTTGCAACTTCTCTTGGGAGCTCAGGTGATCCAACCTCCTGTGCGACAGTCACCACGGTTTAAAGCTTCAGTCCACGATGTTTCTTCTGACTCTATCACTTACAGTCTCATGGTTAGCCCCTGTGTGGCAAGGAGGGGTGTGCACTGCCATCAGTTGCCATGCCTCCTAGGTTATCATGGGGGAAGGGTGCTGGGACAGGATACTCCCAGTGAGAAGATAATGGTTGGTCGGAACCTAGTCTGTGTGTGAAGCGCTAAAATTAGGCCCACAAAATATGACTCCGTCCACTTGTTCCGGGAGACCAGTGATATTAAGGGCTGATATATACTTGCGGTAAACATATACAGCTGTAAGTGGGTGGACTCCAGAACGTATAACCCAGGGCTTCCCGTTTCAGGGTCGCTCGGTTCCTCGAAAACAGAAGACTCAGCAAAAACGACAAAAGATTTGTCATTTCAAACGTGCACAAAACGTAACGCTTCACACGCATTTTTTCTGATGACCTTGCTAAGTTCCAAATTTTTCGAGAAAGTCCTCTGGCCAGTCTGAGACCACAGGTTCAATCACTTGGTTTTTCGCGAATTTCCGGCATCCCGTGATCATCTGTGCAGACTATGAAGGGGTTTCCAGGCTTTGACGAATCTGAGGAACATTTCCATTCTCCACAACAAAGGCGCCGTTCAGTTTCCGGTTGAAGGATATGGCAGTATATGTTCCTTCCATTTTGAGGAGGATGTGTGGGGTAGTGAAGGCATCGGTGATTATCGTGGGGTCTTAATCTTCAGAGTTGCTAGCGAAGACTGGCTAGATGAACTTCTACTTATGGTCAGGTGTACTAAGAATGGATCGTTACGTAATCTGCAGCAGACATTTGGCGTGATCGGGAGTGAAGCGGCGCCTCAAAGCGTTCAGCAGTTTATCTACATCTTTGCTCACCACTCTTGTCCCCCAAATGGAGCATTTGTAGAGACCCACCTCCTCTTCTGTTCCAAGCCCTCTCTCCCCAGGAATTCCAAGCTCTTGACGTGAAAGTCTCCGTCGGAGACGACTTAAGATATCCGGCACTTGGATACAAATGTGGTGTCTGTAAACGAGTATTTGTGCGACGTCCTCAACTTCTCTGTCTTTCCTCCCAGTCCTCTGGAGTTGCTGAATACACATGCGAGGGTGTGCTCGGTGGAGGGAAAAGCCTGGTCGGGTGTTTCTGTGAAAATGGCACAAGCGTGAGTAGGCTCTAGTCTTGGGTCTCCGGTTCTCACAGGACTGGCAGTAATCCGAATTTTTGGGTTTCGCCTTCGACCTAAGGCGTAACCACAGTAGTACAAGTTTCGTTACTTGGCGTACTTAGATCACAAGCTTGTGGTCCGGAGACGAGAAGTTTTGGAAGTGGTCGTTTATTCATTTGTCTGGTGGACCTCCGTTTGCTTTCACACTTGGGCATTTCACCACCCATTCCGTCTTCCACGTCATGCCAGCTGTGAAGAACTTCTGTGGGAGAAGCAAGTGAATCAGAGTGAACGATTAGTGGTGTGTGGGTAGGGAAAGATGGTAAATGGACCGGCTCCGATGGTCCGCTGATAGTGTTTACTGGCAGATTTCCCAGGCTGACTTCATTTAGAGGCCACTACCATCGTCTGACATCGGGGATGTGCCTATTCTTATCAGAGTGTTCGCCCTGCAGTTCTGGGATTCCGTGTATAACCATCGTGGTGCTTCTGTTTAGATTCCCAATCGGGGCCTTTTCTGCTCCTCTCTCAATGACCATGGCTTACGGGGTTTGGCAAGAGTTTTGCAGGCGTGGGCAATGTCCAGCCGGCGTGAGAAAAAAATGATGTATTTAACATCTTTTGCGGTATTCTCAGGGGTTTTGACTAGTCCAAGATAGCCTGGCTGATGTGAGAAAGGTGACAAAGAGTCGTGAAGAGAGGAGAGAGTCTTAGTGCCTGTATGTTAAGTGTTTTGTTTTCTGACAGTGCTCTTTTGAACGTCACTCTCATAGCAACAACTAAATAACTCTGAATCTTTTAGACTTTACGAGACACAATTAGATGACCTAGTAGGCTGTTTCCATCAACGCAGCCAAAATGAAGGACAAATGCCACATTTTGTGAAATATAAACAGCTCCGTTTTGGTTACTGTACTGTCGATGCAAGTTGTAATATACAGTTGGTCAGGAGGGGTGATTTGAAGTGTCATTGTGTAGACACTAATTTACACTTCTGCTCATTCAGATATGCCACTAATGGACAATATATGTATCTACAAAACTGTTACCAAAACGGGTTCTAAAATAATATAACATAAAATTCTGCACGAGGAACAATCGCCCTAACTACCTGCGATGCAATCCCTTCATCATTTTCGCGAAATTTGGAACGCTGGACTACGGAATCCATCCCAGTATCGTAGAATTTGATTGACTTTGTCCTTGGAAAGCGAGGATATCTTATGACCGCTGTTGTTAACCGATATCCCCGACCTTTTTTTCGCTTAATTTTACCGCACCCACTGTTGACTAAGTACTGGGACTTAAAAACAGATGGTCTGTATAGTTACAACATTTAGTAATTAATATCGCCCTCTAACCGATTTCATCAACGTCAAGCCATTTTGGTGAGTGTCACAAGTGTAATTTATCGGCCAGTGTAATCGATTGCAAGTAGACTATGAGTTGTCATTAGTCTTATATATCGATGAGGGATTTACTGTCCACCCACACTATGACTGTCAAAGTTTCAAAGTGAAACACATACTACGGTAACAGAATTCAATAAACTTAACACTTGACTGATGACCTTAGGAGTGAATTAGGACAAGGAGTTGATAGTTTGACGCATTTGGAAGTAATAATAATGATAATAACTTATTCCCGAATTCATGGTATCTACACTGGATACTCCCAAAGAGGGCCTCACGGGATTACCTTTTCGATAACAG